GTGAGAGCAACTATGTAGGCGCAAGACCTGTCAGATGAGACATTAGTGTAACGCACAGGCGTTCGTTTTATGTGTGCATTGGGAGCGGGTTGCCGTGCACAACAGTACATGGTAAATAACATACTTCGTGAAGAGCATATCAACTGCAGTGCTGTGATGGGGTGTGCTATCCAACTAGTGCATGCGGCCTACTTGTGGGAAAGGTATAATGCCAACGTTGCGTCCAGGTGCTACACATGACCTGTATACTTTTGGAGTGTGCAGGAGTGACCTTCTGGGGTGGCATGACGGCAAAACGTAGTCAGGAACCGAAGAGTTTGCGCTTTCTCTCCCCGTCACACTTAGAAGGTCTTAAGCAGCTCAATGCACGCCTAGCTAGACTTTGATATCTGCGAGGTCTGTAGTAAGTCTAGCATCGTACTACTCAACGAGCAGTGTTGCAGTTGAGCTTGGACGGCCGACGGTCGGCCGTGGGCTCTCCGTGTAGGCAAGGGGTACTTCTACGACTGAGGGTGGCTTCGGAATACTCGAACATCCATAAAATATCCTACTTGGTTGTGATAAGACGTTCGGGGAGCCTCACTTGGAGAATAGCTGTCGGGCTATGCTCCGGAGGCTTGCTCATGCCTTCAAGTTCCTTTTCGAGCTGAATTTCATTGAACCGCTGTTTAGATTCTGCCAATTAGCGCCTCTGTCTCTGATAGAACTCCTCATCCGTCGTGGGCAAACTGCCCGCTACAGAGAATTCACATGCGGATATCACTAATTGTGAAAGAGCTGCACAGCATTCACCACGCCAAGACAAAGCCCCAGGTAGTTCAGTAAATGTAGCCTCATCACAAGTCGCCAGCTCCTTCCGCGAAAAGCAGGCCTCTTGAGCGCTACACTTTACAACCACTGAAGGTTCCAGACAAATGGGGCCTTCAGCGGTTGTAAAGGATGACTAGCCGTGCGCCAAAAATGCATGATTCTCACGAGGGTTGACATGTCTCCAGGCATTCTAGTCGTCGGGTCCATGAAAGCCTTTTGTTGCCTTCCTCCCAGTTGCAGTTTCGCCCTGTGCACTAGTTCCCGTGCCTTCCATAGCGTGCATCGCTATTTACAGGTTAAATCTAACCGCTGTTCGTTCAGGAGCCGTTGTGCAGATGGAGATGGCTAGATATTAGTATGTTAGAAAAAAGTTAAGGAGGTAAGCGGACGAATCTAGAACATGACTGTGCCGTTGCATTCTGCCCGTGGATACGATCGTAGTAGAAGCTATTTGCTCATCTTTTTGCGTACTGCCAGGCCTGCAACTACGTCTTCACTTCATGGTAGTCACGTTCCTATACAAACATAAGAAAATATTACCCTCCTTGAGACATCGGGAATGCATTTTTGGGCGTCAAAGTATCCCATGTGGCTTCGCGGGTGCTTCCTTCAAATTAGGGAAAGGGACAGACGAGCAGAAGCACCATCCCTGCCTGCTCTACTGTTCTCAGATTGATCAGCGTTACTGAAATACACCCTTCACATATCTGGACACACTTGATGCAGTACTACACTGAGGTGATCTTGCAGCTATAATATTATCCAATGACTGTTTCAGCATGAGCTTCTCCCTGGGCTTAGCACCTACGCCTTGTCCATAGCTCTTTCTCCAACAAGGGGTCTTCCGTCAACGCTTTTCATGCCTGCCACCTGTTTTCAAATTGGCCAGCCTTCGCTACCCTCCACTAGAAAGCTATCTGGAAAAAACATGGCCGCAATCAACTTAGGATTTCTACAGAGCCATTAGGGAGGACTCGGACCCCTATGGACCATCGTAGGCAGTTTCTAAGCTTAAATACGTCCACAGGTTGTCACTTGCATGGAGGCCAGCCGCTGAGTGACACAGTGGGTACTTAATTCATGCATATCACCGCCTCTTTGCCACAGGACAGGTTCAAGTTTGTTGCAACCATCTCATGAAGCCACAAACGATGCGCAGTTTCTTGCAAAGCAGCTAATCAAGCGGGTAGCTTAGCCTGCGGATCTCTTATAGCCGCAACGTGGATAAGGGACTACTTCCTGGCCTTGATGCCAGCCTGCTGTTCGTCAACACCCTCTTTTACCAGCAGCTGTACGCTTTTTCTTGTGAAATTACAGATAAAGCGCCAAAAGAAGATAAGTGTCCTTAGAACTCAACGAACACACTCATGACCCTTCAGTTTTGAGATACAAACCCGAGTGAATGTCAAATATTTGATCTACGTCTGGCGGGAGGTGGCTTTTGAGTTGGAGAAAAGCAGTGCCACACTCGCGCAGCGTAGGACTCGTTTCAAGTGAGCAAGGTGCTGCTCTCACGGGATTCTGCAGACGATTGTGTCGTCTAAGCATGCAGGCGCAAAAATCCAGCTCTAGCAAGCAGTCCACCATGACCTGCTGGCAAGAAAGCCTGCTACGCCAAGAGGTGGGCGAGATCGTTTGCGATGCCCGTTAGGCATAAGGAAAGTCAAACACTTGAGGCAAGCCTACCAAGCCTTCGTATGTGATTATGCCTTGGGTAAGGTGATCGGAAGAGGACTTTTCTCCCTACAGGTCATCGAATAATTAATGCATTTAATGAAGTTCATACATGCAGGCAAGCTTTTGCATGGACTCCGAAATTCAGGATCGAGGAGCCTCCTCCATGTTTCCCTGCGTGGAGTCCCTGTCAACACGGGGAAGTTCGTAACGCTACCAGCTGTATGGGCTTAGATTTTTAAATCCAAGACCCTCTAGAAAAGCTGCACTTCCAATCTCGTTAATGCAAAGGGGCCGGAAGCTCAAACGCACCTCTGTTCCTTCCGGCATAGAATGACTTCCTTGCACCTACATGATCAATTTACCTCTCCTGCAATATCACCATAAATTTTGTAGCCACACGTATTCGGAAGCGCATCGCCTTACTTTTTAGTAGACGCCTGTCGTAAGCCGCAAGAGGCAACAGGAAAGGCGCTGGTTAGGGAACCATTACGGAATAATTGCCCACTCCTTGAATAGCGGATCTGGATTCCCTTCAGCCACAGTGCCGCATGTATTGCTTTCTTCAAAGTCCAGCAATACTGCAGTTGGCTCTGTCCTAGACTCTTCAGGGAGTTCTGCGTACGACACTTCGGCCTCAGTTCTCCAGGGCAGCGCAGTGTTTCCCTGAGATCCACCCTTGTTCCGATGAAGATTAGACTTGGGTCAAATTCATTTTTTCCCCTTTTCAACGCAAAAATGGCTATGTTCGTGCTCTAGATGCCGCAGGGGAAAGTTCGCAGCTCTCGACAGGGAACGGACTGGGATACATTAAGAGAATGTCTTGGGACACGCACTACGTGCCAAGTAATTACTACTCAAGCCTTTTCAACGCACGGTAATGCATGGCACAGCTTGGAACTCCTCTGAATCACTTGCATCGTCTCTTTCGGCCTAAAAAGCCCTCTAAATCGTTTTGCCTGTCCGTACATCCTCTTTTCGTTTGCGACGCCTCGAAGCACAACTCTCCATAGATGCTTCGGCTGCTGCAGCCCTGGCTCAATTCAGCCGTACGAGTTGGCTCTCACGGCACTTATAACAGGCATGTTGATGAACGGGCTATTCAACTCTAATAAGTGGTCCTGACGAATAAGTGGTCCTGAGGTTAACACAACAGTCGCTAATCGTTGTCGGATAGGTTAGAATGCTGATACCAAGTGCTCAGCAAAATGGGCGACTCCAGCACTATTGTTCCTTTTCTAACCTAGCTTATTGCGTCGTATCCAGCTAATTTTTAATTTCCTCCTCAAATTCGACTGCTGTTTCGGTGTCCCTGCCCTTTTCTGCTCCAGTGACGGCGGAATCAGCAACACTTTCTTTAGCACCTTCTGTCAGTTTCAGACAGCCACAACTATCCAGCAAAAAGCGTTACCTCGGACTGATGGAGAGCAACAGTAGGCAGCGTTCGGAAGGACAGACTGCACATTCTACGTAGACAAACTTAGAAAGGTATACTGTCTTGGTTCTGCAAGGTCAGAAGGCTCCACTGGATCAGCCCACCTGAAGCTATACAAGGCAGCAGCTGCAGGGGATTGCAAAAAGTGTGTTCATAGTTTCTTTCGAAAAGGCAGTTAGAATGTCACGCAGCTTTATGCAGCTTTCCCGGGGGTACACGCCCGAAATACAGCAGCACGGGAGAGTAGAATGCAAAGCTGCTAGAGAAGGTGAACCCTCTCTACTTGTTTTTTATGAGTCCTCTCCACCAGGGACCAGGGTCCGTATGCTTCTGGGTCTCCGTTCCTGCCAGTCCCCAGTGGTAAACTTACAGTCAGGCGCCACGAAAATGTAGCAGCCCTGTACCGGAACACCAGGCTCTGCAGAAGCACGTGAAGCGAACAAAAGAAGCACCTGGAGCTTTTAGAAATTTCAACTGCAGCACCTCGCCCTCCGCATGCACTTATTTTCTGTCTCGCGATAAGCCGCTGGAAGAAAAGTAGCCTCAGAGACGCAACAGTTACAATGGACAGCAACTACATGTAGTGCCAGCGGCAGAAGCGGCGAAGCGCAGCACCCGCAGCGCCACAGAAAAGCTTTTCGTCTGCATCGATACCCAGCCCGAAGAAATAAAACATACTGAGGCGAGCTGACGAAGTTGCTGGTGGATTTGAGCGGCGGCTTCTGTTAAGGGCCCCCGAGCCGCCAATTGAGTCTCCTGAAGCAGGCTGCTGTGTTTTAGCCCACTGCTTGATTATGGCGCTGTCTTCAAATTCAGCCCCCCATAGTAGATGAGTACGACTGGTGAGTTCGTCTGTCGGCCCCCATACAGACCACCAAGCAGCCACACAAAACCGCGCGTTGGCTCAGGTGAAGCAAAAAGAAACAACTTGGGGAATTAGAAGCCTCGCCGAGTCAAGCTCAGGGAGGCCCCATGCAGAGCAGTTGAGCCAGAGACTGAGATCAAGCATGCCCATTACGTAGAGATCGACATGCCAACGGGAAAAGCAGAGTCACATTAAGCCAAGGATGAACCTGACTTTTCAAAGTAAAGCGATTCCCGCCCTGAAAAGCTGCACGTCAACTTCGCTTGCTGGAGCAGTTTCGAATTCCAAGAGGTCTCCTGCAGCTTCCAGGGTAGCCAGCTTATGATGGAAGGCTTTCTCCTTGCCTTGCCTGTCAGCATCTATGATTTCTTCTGCGAGCTTCTCCAACTGACCGCTGTTCCAGTGCTTTTCTAGATGCTCTAAATACTTTGGGTCGTGGTGATCAGCTGTTCTCCTTTTAACTAGAACTTGGGAAATGTGGGAGAGAAAATCAGTGAGTGCCCCGAAAATTCCAAGGTTGCTAAACCGCTGCTCAGCCTTCTCAATCACGACCGCCGGGCATTCAAACCTGTAAAGATAGTTAATCCATGTTTGCTGATGGGGCATGCCCTTAACTTGATCGACAAAGTCTCCCAAATCACCTACTATTCGACTGAAGCGCTGGGCCATCTTGTCTGGAACTTTTTTGTCACCCAAGATCTGTATGATGGAGCCAGCTAGAAACTCCATGAGACACTCTGCTTGATACTTTGTGACATCCCCTTGAATCGTTGTCATTCCTGCCTCTTTTTCTCTCTTGTCAGCCCGTTTTACAGCATCCGAGATGCCGCCCAGATACTTATTGAATTTCTTTAAGAAGTAGGAGAATTTCACAGGCGTGAAGTCCACAGGTGGTTGTTCTACAGCGTCCCTCAAATCCGTAGAGCCTGTCGAGGCCCTTCGTGAATGCGCTGTGGCGTCAGCAGATCCCATAAACCGTTGCTTACTTGCCTTTAGTTCTTGTATACGTACGCTCATTGCCTCCACCAGTGAAGCTGTAAAAGCTACCCTCACCAGGTGCAATGTTTTTTCACGAAGACTAGCGGAATCTTCTGGCTGCAGTTGAAAGGCTGACAGTACAAGGTTTTCGACGTATGACGTAACACTCAGCTCTCCGGCATCTTGTCTATACGTAGAGATATACCGGCGGGCAAAGTCATGTTGCACATCTGCTCCGACCGTGCCAGCATGTTTCAAAAACTCCTCCAGGGCCGCTCTTAACGCTATAGAAGCTTCGGTGGTCTTCTGCTTCACTGCTTCTGTTTGTGCAGCTGCTTTAGCTTCTTCTTCCCGTGTTGTTTCATGTACAGCAACACCAGGGTCATATGCGGCAGGTGCTGTCGGTTCATAGTTGCCCGGTTCGCCACCCCCTGCAGCAGGAGGCAACTCAGTCTGTGAAGGCTTCTTTTCACTAACGAGGTTCGTTTCTTTGTGGATACCTTTTGCTGTCACTGGTGTCTCCTCAACTTTTGGCTCCTCTGGCTTGCTTGGCTCCGCTGCCATTACTTGGGGCTGTTCTTGAGGGTGCGGAGGAGGTGAAGCAACTTGAGGGGGTTCCTCAGGTTGCAAAATCTGAAAAACTGGTGGCGGCTGTGAAATCGTGACGGGTTGCGGCTGCACCTGAGGCTGCTGCGGGACCGGTGGTTGCACTGGTGGGCCCGTTGCACCACCCTGTCCTTGTAGGCTTGGAACTGCAGTATTTCCTCCAACAGGTAAATGGTTCTCATTTGGCTCGATATTGCCTTTTGTTCTCAACGACCACGCCAAAACAAGAACTAGAAGTCCGGCAATGGCAGCTGCAAAGTACGTTCGTTGAGCTTTTGCCGGAAACGCACCGCCGAAAATTCCACGGCCAGCTGTGAAGCTTGTTTCATATTCTGGCTGCGCGTGTTCGTCAATTTTGAATGAAAGAGCCTGGAGAGCAGCATCTGCTTCTTTCCCCAAGTCGCCCGAACCCCCAGAAGCCGCCTGTGGGCTATCGGAGACAGCCGCGGGGGAGGTGGCACTCTCCGAGCCACTCTTCCCTGCACTCATTGCATTCAGATGAAGTTGCGGTGTTGGTTGGAATGGGGAGGAGCTGAGGGCGTGGGCGCGGCGGAAGTCAGAAGGCAGCCTTCAGGCTCCGGGGGACTGGGAGAGGCCAGATCAGGCCCAGAAAGCTTTGTAACTATTGATATCACAGAAGCAATCAGTGCGATGTACAAAAGAATACCAAACCTATACAAATAGTTGCTCAGAGCTGGAAAAAATGACATGAACTGTGAATGGGCCTATGATAATCTGTGACTGAACGCCCTGCCCTCTTTGTGCGGGCGATCGCGTGGAGACTGGCAAGAGACAGTCCAAGGCTTCCCCGCAATTTTCAAGGGGTCAATTCGTTCAGAAATTGAAGAGATCGTAGTATGGCTTACGAAAAAAAAATGTCGTCTGGCGTCTTATAACTCGTTTGGCTTCCACCCTGTTCCGCATTGTGCAACTACTGTCTGCGCAGTCCTGGGGGCTGAAGCTGCCACACGGGACGCGCTCGCGGTCTTGATTGGCTTCAGCATAAATTGTATTCTTAAGATAGTGAAATTTGGTTTCTAAGAGATTGCCCATTGTTGTCTCGCTTGAGTAGAGTGCCTCAGAATAATTCTGGCCTCGGCTGCACGACGTCATGCTCGATTGGTGGATGCTGCACTTGCTGCACTTCAAATTCGAATAACCTATGTGAAATTGGAACTTCGGCAGAGTAATTCAGAATTTCCCTTTAAGTTTTTCGTTAATTTACGTACGGACGCATGGCTTTCATTACGGGACCGTTCCCCCTGCACCGTGTTCGCCTGAGGTTGTGTTGGTGACTACATAAAGGCTCGATAATGGCCCTCAAACGCAAAATATACTGGCATGCAAAATGTATATGCAAATATGCAGTCTATTAAGAGGAAAAGATGGAGCTTCCAGGTTGTTTTGGCACTACATGTAATGCTGCGCGTTGCAGTGCAGTACCAAGGTCGGTCTTAGAGGGCAAACAAGCCCTCCAGGGTGAAAAAACACACTCGAAATACCAATTAAGTCAAGTGTGCACAAATAAAGCCTTAAGGCTGACTAAACCCTCATAAGTAGAAAATCAAGCTGTGGGTTCAGGGCCAGCAGCAACTGTGCATCTAGGCACTGAACACACTATGGGAGCAGGGTCTCTGGAAAATTGGAGCTATTACAACTCCGTACCTACAGTCCTGCTGTAGGTACGGGGTTTTAATAGCTCCAGGTTTTCCTAACAACAATTTTTGGTGTGTCAAGGTGTAAAACTGTTTGTGACGGACGCCAAAAGACCTCCTAGGTTACAAGGCCACGGAGTACTGTGGCGTGACTTTCTAATATTGGAGGCTCCTCCGGCATGGCGTGCGCTGTCCCACATGCCACTTTCGCCGCCGCAGCATGCCGGTAGCCCATTCATACGCGGTGACACCCTGGCCTCTAGCCAGAGTCGACACACAATCCTCAGGAAGCCGCAGCACTCTGAGGTTCGACCACTTTATAGCCAATGCTCTAATGCACCTAAACGGCGCATAAATACCCAAGAGGGCTTCATATATGCGTCCAGCAAAACCATAACAACACGAAGTTAGGTAATTCACTTCTTATGCATGCTACACAGCAAGGCGGGGCAATTGCTGGCCTGGTTTGCACGCAATTCCTCGCGTCACCACTGCGGTGCTGCACAATCTGCATATGCAAGTGAGTTCCCTTCTAGTGATGGAATATCCCACATTTAGCCTACTAGGCCTCCTGCTTCACACTCTGGCGCCTCGTTGCCCCTTTTTGCTATTCAAGAAGTTCCCACCGCAGCCTCAGTTGGTTAATCTTATCCGTTTCTTAGTTTTAGGTTCCTCCTTCCGTCTACGAGAGGCATTCTCGGTGCCACACCCTTTCGTAATTCCTTACCTGCAGCCTAATCCACTCATACGACGAAATGACTTGGTTCATGCGTACATGCAGCCGGATAAGGCCTTTTGCTATCCCTTGGTTCCCCTCATAGCCTGTCAGAAATCGGGCTGTTTGTAGCACTGTGTCCTACTTTATCACACCCCTTGAACTTCCCTTTGAATATCCTGGCTACATCCATAGCACGTTGGTGCCTTGTGCTCGAATCATTGAAATCGCCGCGGTCCCACGACTCGCCCTGGCGTGCTTTTTCCATGCCTTTTCCGAAGTCCTGGACGTTGTGATAGTCCTTAACTCATCGCTATGTCTTGATATACAAGGGTGCACCGGTGCGGGCCAGGTTTTCGTTGCCTATTTCCAAAATCACACCTTCAGACCACTTCACGGTTATCCCTTCTGTTATTCCAGTACCTAAGTCCCCAGGAAGTTTTGCATGGCAGAAATTTTGTTAGGGCTTCAATCTTCGTGGTGCGGTTTTTGGGACATGCGCTTTGCTCGCTTTTGCCCAGCACTTTTGGGATATCCTTGACGGACAGAGGACAGAATCGATTATGGCGTGATCGGCTCTGTAGCTCTCATACAACCATACCTGCCGTGTCCCCAAGCTACTTCCAATCCAACGAGGCGACTAACCAGCTCACTGGCGCATCGGCAGGGGACCTGTGCCTATTCAAACGAAATGGATCTTCACGACGCCGTAGCCCATATGCGTTCGACCTAGATGCCTCATGGAGTACCCGGACAGTTTTCATGGAATTCGGCAAAACAGAGACTATCAAAACACCTTTAAAGTCAAATCAAGTAGAGAAATTATGAAGCGAAATGAAGGAGCCACTGCAGCTACATAGGGAAAGGGATCACACTCCTGCGGTCGCCCAGGAGGCCGGCAAGGCTGTAGACCAGATGTATGTCATTTGAAGGCTATCCAGAGGCAGAAGCGTTAGCGTTTGTCGAGAACACTTTTCAGTTCCCTTGCTACCGCCAACGCCCAAGGAGGCCACGATCATGGCCACCCCCACGTCCATGGAAGTGTGCAGCTGCGAGCTTACAGCAGTGACTGTTAGTTGTTTGTGTAGAGGCTCAAAGTATTATGAAGCAGCTCCCATATGTTGCGCAGGGTCTTGGGACCTACGGGCTACGTAGCACTGTGCAGCCTAACAGAAAGGCCTTCCTGACATCTCTACTATCCATCAAGAACCCTTGAACAAGACAAAAATGTGAGTCAGAAGATTAGGAGCTTCGAAAGCACACCATGTGGTAAGGCAATGCTCCGCAATGCTCCACCACACGGCCTGCACAGGGTATTCACCTACCCAGAGGGTTGCTACAGGCCCCCAACCCCGGCTAGGCTGCAGAGCTCCGCTGCTCTAGCCGCCCTCAAAACTATTTCACAAGTACACCTGCGTAACCAGCACCATGAATGAGTTCGCTGAGTCTCTCCAAGACGACTTTCGCCCTCCATGACTGTGCATAGAATCAAATAGCCCTCCTTGGAGCTTGCAATGGCATCAGGCAGAAAGCTCCTCAATGTGAAGTTTTCTCAGCACACCAAAAAGTTCCACTGCATCGCCGCAGAGTGTGCTTCCATGCATCAGTAAACAGCGGAGTGCTGCAAATGAGACTCATTCATGAGCCTTGTCCCTTGGGCGCATTCCACATTTTTTCAGCTTCTATCGATTCAGTCTTGCCCGCTGCTATGGGTATACTTATATCTTGCAGTAAGTGCACATTTGAGGGGCGATCACAATGCTACAAGGAATGCCTGAGCACAGCAATAACGCCCTCCGAATCCGCCCCTAAGCCTATGAACACTCTCTCTTCCTTGATGTGCAGGGCTCACCGGAGGAGTAGTCCACATCTACATGCCTGCTATGTAGTACTTTCAAAATAATACAAAAAACAAGTGGTAGGGATATAACTGCAGATTTCGAAAGGTTTTGACGTTAGGGGCCCCATTCCAGCCCCCAAAACACACGGCGGCTCTCGCACAGTCGGCTGTGGGAAGCCTGTAAATTACAGCGAGCGATGCCATTCATTTGCGCTTTGAAAATCTTATTTGAGCTTGATATGCAGGAGGTTTTTTTGCCTCTATCAATTTATTTTGTCCTTGTCTTGTTTGCTCGTCTAGGACAAGTTACGTGCTCTTCACGCCCCTCTGCTATGATTTCACATATGTTTCTTTCCTTCTTTGCGCATGAAGGAGCAACAGAATTAACAGTACGTGGTTTTTTGTAAACAAAAGTCTTGGTCTATCCCATTTTCTGATTGGAATTGTTTCAACATTGTTTCATTGCCTCATTTGGGGCCAACTTTCCGCGCGCGTGTATGGGCTGAAGATACACCAACTAAGTGCTAGTTGTACACCTAAAGGCTAAACGAACACCTCCTTGCTAGCGTAAGGAGCCGAAGTCACTTGGCTTATTCTTTCGCGTCCATACTCTCCGCGCAGAGTACCCCCTGCCAGTAAGAACTACACATTGCAGGTGGCGGCCCCCGAGGCCGAAAGGGCCCCCACAAGGGGAGCCACTAGCCCGAAGGGGTGGTGAAGACCCAGCCATTGAGCCTTTCCGCATGGCGATGAGTCCGATTCAGTCTTCCACGATCTCAGACTTCCCAGTGAGCTGAAGCTGTCGAAGCGTCCTCGGTAGATTGCAATGCCGCTTCAAACCAGCGGCGAAAAACTTGGAAAATCGATATCTTTGTTTTCGTTTGTGCAGAAGCATAGTAACTTATACTGAGACTGCGGCGTATGGGTGGAGTTGCGGCATGGGGAGGTGGGTTGCTGAGGTATTGGGATCCCAGGGCACGGTAGCCTTTGCGCCATTACAGATTACCACATCTAGCGAAGCGTGCATGTGTAGGTACTTGTTAAAGTGAGCTTCAAGAAGAACCAGGAAATTGAAGGAGTGTGCTAGGCGCTCAGCCCGGCAATGGCCGACATGGGTGTGCTGACTCGTTGCTGCGCACTTGGACAGGCTTGGCTCCTACCCCTAAACGGGCGAGATGACCTACCGCGGAGGGAGAAGGGAGAAGGCAGAGCCCTTCGATCACCTTGTTAAACTTTTGGTCCTCGGCGATAGCTGTGAGTTTACCTTATGTAGGAAACG